GTTTTATCAAACATTTATTGTAAGTGATTTTCAAGTTCTTTTGTTGTAGTAAACATTATTTTGTGCATACACATGCAATATATATTTGGTTGGTGGAACAAAAACATGCATCCTCTCCACCGGAAAATACGGTATGTACATCTCGTTGTTACTTAATGAAACTAAGTTTCCTGTCAAGAACACTAGGAATCTGTGAGCTGTAGTATGAACACTACTTCCAAAAACTGTAAGAATGTCAATAGCTGGCATCTTCTATTAAAGTTCAATACAGACCACACAGTTATTTTAGAGGGGTTTGCTGCAGTTATGGTCTTCAGCAACGGCCCACAACTACTCGATAACTTCTGACAGACAGTACTCTACAAGCTGAGGGTTGTGTTTTACAAAAACAAAAATAGTCTTTCTTGTTTTGAGTTTACCTTAAGTATCTTTAGAATATTCATTAACATTCAAAATGAAGCAAGTGATAAAGTGTAATCTACAGTATATTATGTAATGATTATAATAGTATCTGATCTGGCTAAGATTACAACTTTTAGATTAATATATATGAAAAAAGTAGAAGGCTCAAATCCTTGAGTTTAGTTTTCCTCAACTGGTATCAAAGTGTTATGATAAAACTTGCACTACCAAAGTAATTTTTGTCAAATACTTTGTACTTATACCTGCAGCCTAGCTGTCTGAAATCACAACTTGACCCATCCTTATCTCTACTAATTTATACATTTTCTTTACAAAAATGTTCCATTAAAAGATAAACAATAACAGCTGAATGTATAAAGTAAGACTCACATTAAGTAGAAAAATGAGCTTTGGCTGGAGCGGCACATTACCCACAGTAACTGCACTATAGCAATGCTGCCATGTTTATGGCACTCTTGAGCCAAGAATGTTAATAATAATGATCCTTGCCAAATCAATTCACTTTTCCTAGACTTTTATCATTATAGCCCCTCACATTGCAACTGTTATGAAGTTTACCCAATTAAGACAAAAAATATTAAGGTCTCTGAGTTAGATAGTTTGCATCAAAGCTGATACTTTTGCCATCATATATAAAACAGGCACTATCTTCACACACTTACACTCAAGTGTGTGAATGATTACGCAAGTGAAAAGTCCTTGCACCTTACACACACACACACACTTTCATAGCTTCATTCATTTATTAAAGTCCATCCACTACACATTTTCCTTCATTCATTGAAGGTGACAAATGCAGACGCTCCTTCAAACACTAAACCTAATGAATATACTCTCACGTTTTCAAAGTAACTCTCGACATTACATTCATCATTTACACTGACAAAAAATTTAATCTTACAAAACTACTGGTTATTTCAGTTAATATGCAGAGAACAAATGACTGAATGACTGAAGAATGAATGAACGAATGAATGAATGAATGAATGAATGAATGAATGAATGAAAAATTCTAAGATAGATGTATAGGATTGCATCAATAACAAATTTAGTTTTACACAATTAGATACAGTATTAAATGGGGCAGAAAAATGCACAAGCAAGACTGGTTTCTAAGAGAATACATTACAAGGAAAATATGACCACTTACCCGGTAACAATAACAAAAAGAATTTACAAAAATTAAATGATCAGACTCAAAGAACAACCATTCCTTAAAATAGGACAGATAACCCAAAATTTCTTTAATAACCACAAAACTCTAGAAAATGGGTCATTGAATATGTCATGTTGGAAGTGTTCTGAAGAAACTTCAGTCAAGTCAATCTCAACTAGAGGTGACAAATATCTTGTTGAATATACATTATTTAAGACAGGATACATTGATTGAATACTTATCTACAATATATGAATAAGGGTAAGGACCAGGTATGCAAAATGACTGGAAATGAACACAACTATCTTGAAAAAATGTTTATGTAATATAAAAAAATCAGACTAGAACTAGCTTACATATGTAAGGAAATAATAACATTTACCACAACTTCCATTAACAAGTAATGTCAAAAGATAATAGGTACAAGAAAATTAAAGCATATAAAATTGTGCTATGGCAAAAATATCATCACAGAGGGAGGGAGGGAGGAATGGAAGGAAGGAAAGGAAGGAAGGGGAGGAGAGGGAAAGTGACCTGCAGGAAACATCGAAGACTCGCTCGGCTGTGAGGATGATCACCAGGTACTATCAACAGATATGTTGGGACCAGAAAGATAAACTATGTATGGCCAGGATAAAACCAGAGGAAATGTATATTGCTAAGGTAGAAATATTCATTCAAAAATATTAACCAAAGGTAGATAGAAAGAAATTCATTCAATACAGGATGAATTATAGCAATTCTCCCCATGGCAGTATTCAAATAATTTAGGACTGGTTTCAAAAACCAAGTGCTGTAGCAGCAATGAATATTCAATTCAAAATAAAACATAATGTCCATCAAAATATTTACAAATAAACAACTCTGAAGCTGAGCCACAAATGAAATTATTGAAAAATACAAAGAACATGCAAACCTCTTCTTTCTAATACAAATAGTACTCTCCATTCATAAAACATCACAAAGTTTATAAGGAACACCTAAGCCTTAATCCTGCATGAGTAACAAGTGGTATGTCGCAATATTATATGCAAGACTTTCATTTCCACTCTTAATACCCAGAAACTGCATGAGGATTTCAGCACAACAGTTAAGAAGGAAAAAACTGGGTGAGGGAGCAGGTGAATAGTTCCCTATTCTTGGGGAGAGGAATTAAGCCAGTTAGGTTTATTGCGGTCCCCCTGGGCCACCGAAGAAGCTTCCCACACAACAGTCGCTTTACTCCCAGGAACCTATTTTACTGTTAACCACTGCGCTACAGATCATGATTTGAGGAGGACACAGGATGAGTTTTATTTGAATGCCAATAGTAAGTAAGTTTCACAATGAAATCACAATGGCCTTATATATAAATGAAAATAATTTTGAGGCAATAGAGTGACTTGAACTCACGACCTGGTGATTCCCAGGCAGCGAGTTTGATTTGCATAATTAAGTTTCTACAGTAAGCTATACAAAAAATAATATACATATACAAATGTATTTGTGTAGGTATATTATGTACAAAACATGTGTGTTGTGTGTTTACTTTATATACATGTGTGTATGATAAATATGTATAAATAAAAAGTATCTATATGTTATGTTCATTAGCCTGAGTTGCTTAACAGGCCAAAATTATATAAAAATTTTATTTTTTAAATCTTGCATACTGAAACATTAAAAGCAATATAATAAGAAAGGTGAATCCAGCCCATTACTAACCGAAAAGTGTGAGAGACCAACACACTTTCTCTTTTTATCAGACATTATTAATAGGATTTTTCTTTATAAACATTTGAAATAGTCCACAGAATGCACAGTGGAGTCTACACTGGAGTATGAGAATCAGCCACAGCCTTTTGTCATGCAGACATTTTTGTAAGCTTCCACATAGCCTTGTGGAAGTAACATTACAGTATTTGTATGATGGACCAATGAAGCTGGTTCGTATAGTAGATCCAGATGCAAAACTGGGACTTGTGAGGTCATTCATAAGATTGGATGTTCATAGGTTGGAGATATCATGTAGTTACACAAACATGTTTGCAGATGATAGGCTACTGTTATGATGAGTCCAGGATGACTGTCGTGCTCTTGATGATAAACTCATGGAGCAATATATGACAAATGGAATTCAAAGTGGGTACTATGCCACATAATACAGTATAGAATAAGTGCAACAAGGTCCACATTCAACCCACTAATTATGTGAAAAACTCTACAAAACTCAGGCAAAGCTTTTGTCATAAAATTGTCACCAGAACACTACATCAATGACATAGTATGAGAAATCTACACTACTCTGGAAAATTTCTGAATGCCTTTAAAAACATGGATAATAAAATAATAATTTCATCACGTAATTGAGATCTGAATTAGAATATGTATATTTTGGTTTAGTGACCAAACCTCAAAAACATGTAAATAAAATAAAGATACAAAGACATGCTACTAAATGAGTCCCAAACCAAAAAAACACAAGAGCTATAAAGAAAAGCCGAATGTGTCAACATGTCCAACTAATTAAAATACAGGGGTACCTCGGTTTAAGAGTTTAATCCGTTCCAGGAGACAGCTCGTAATCCGAAAAGTTGTAAACCGCAGCTAATTTCCCCATAAGAAATACATAATGGGAAATGAATTAATCCATTCCTGACTACCCAAAAACCTCACTTCAAACTAAATTTTATACCTAATTTATCTAAATTTACACTACAAAAGTATGTTCAAGTTATTACTTACCCTTGCTGATGACTCCTGTTGGCGTATGGAAGATGGTGAGGAGGAGGGAGGAGGAGAGGTGTTACTGTTTGGAAGGGGAGTCCCCTTCCATTATAACATCAGGCAGTGAGGACTTCACTGGTGTGCACACTGGCACGTTTTACCTGCATACCACTAGGACTTGCTTGTCTTACTAAGAATCTGTCTAATGACACTTGTTTTTCCCTACATTTTAACACTTGTGTGTAGTAAGACATCACATTGTCATTTAAAAGGTCAATGCAACGGCCTGCTACAGCTTTATCTGGGTGAGTTTTTTCAACAAAACTTTGCAGTTCTTTCCATACTTCACACATTTTCTTAATGAAGAAGGAACATCCTCTACTGCCTCTACTCACAATTATTTTCTTAGGTTGAACCTTACCACTGGCTTTCTTGGGACCCATGGCGAGATATATAATAACAACTTTTATACTCAAATGGCCAAAAATCAGACAAAAAACTGTAAATCCTTGTGAAGAATTCAGGCGGGATAGTCACTGGGCAAGAGGCACTGGTAAACTGAGGCACAATCGCTGTGCCATCACACGCTAGTCGGCCTGTACGCGTATCAACACGCTCGTCTTCCGAGGCAACGCTCGTATTCCAATGTAAATTTTCCGAGCAAATCCTGCTCATATTCCGAAAAACTCGTATACAGGGCAACTTGCATTCCGAGGTACCACTGTAAAAAAAAATAAAGATGAAATGGTCACTACATTCAAAATTGTGACAGAAATCTACAAAATTGATAAGAAGGCAGGCATGTTTTCAATCCACAGCATCAAACAGTGATCACAGATTCAAAACAAGAAGACAAAAGTACTGATAAACTTGCATAAATTCTTTTTAGCAATGGTAGATGATGCAACAAAATAAATGAGGAGGGAGTGTATTTGAAGACCATCAGAAGCATCAAAACTTGGTAATACAGTACAAAGAATATAGGGAAGATGGGACACCATGAGCGTAACTTTCATCCTGTAACTCCAGTTAGGTAATTACAAACTCACTCCCACACAAATGCACAAACACTAACAAATACCTGCTTTAAGGCCGACACAGCAAATAAGAATAGCCCTACAAAAACTATTCAACTTTCACTGTTCAAGATATCACCGATATCTTTAGCCAGTCTGAATCATCTCTGGCATCAATGGTCATGCTTGCAAAAATAATAAACCATAAAAATATATAGCGACACATAAAATGGCCCTATTCAACAAAGTTGTCAACGATCATAGCACGAATGTACCGGGTGTGTGAAATGCCCACAAAACACACAGACCCATCTCAAGTCTTATTATGCAGCTTCAGCCCAGATTGATTCACAAAGCTAGAAAAAAGCTGGTTCCCAGTAGTAATTTTGCACTTACACAATACAGTATAGTATACAAAGCCTTACTTCAAAACTCTCTTCACTACATGGCACATTTGGATCCCATGTTATATGCAATCAATGCACATCTCTTAAACTGTGTATATTGTATATATTATACATACCTACAAAATGTATTACTTCATACAGTACATAATTAAAAAAAATGTGTTAGTAGGTTGTGTAAAGGCCACATTATGTAACATAAGCTGTGGCCTTTAATTTAACTACAGTATTTGGAATGACTTGGCCAAGTGTTTGTACCTCCATCCAAGTACAAGTGTATATTTATCAAGTCTATATACATTATATTATATATATGTATACTGTATATACATATGTAATAAAATCGGGAAAGGAAATCGAAACCACTATTTGCAAATAAATATATGCTATCTGGCTTGAAAAGAAATGGGTCATGAAAGCGGAAAAAATCCACAACTAGCAAAATGACTTTGGTATAAATGCAACCTTAGACATAAGGGTGATTAAAAAAGAGGAAACCTCAGTGCTGTCTCAATTATTGAACGTAAGAAATCCAGAATTATTCATTTAAATTTACACTTTTTTTTAACAATCTTGCTCGTACAATAGCCTTATACGATAATATTTCACACCACATATCAAGCAAACTCATTGAACATCATCTAGTTCACAGTTTAAGAGAATATTAGCCCATATTGAATTGCCTATATTGTGTGGCGAACATTAAAAGTGAGGCAAATAATTTGTTTTTGCATGGGGAATAGTTATTTTAAGTGATGGATATTTATGCCAAAGATGCAATGTTAAGGTTACTCATCCTGCACTTGTAATGACAAAACACAGCTACTAGTACCATGCACCAAAAACTACATGACTATTAGTTGCATCAGTGAAATGACTTTTCATTACTGTACTTTAGTCTTATACACATTCATTAATGCCTGCAACATGCTTTGTGGTGGCTTTGATCTGTACAAACTAACCACTTCCAACAGCACTACCATTCTCACCTGCATGATTTTAAAATATGAAAATTTGCACCTCTGAATAATGAAAGCAGCAGGTACAAAGCAGACACAATTTTTCCAAAGCTAGACTCTTCTACTAAGACCCAAGGGAACTACATAAAATGTCTAGTATAAAGTTGTAAGAAGGTAAAGGGTTTTAAAGTGTTGGCATTATATTCCTATCAGTCTGGTTATAGCTGCCTCAATACAACCTTAATCTCACACCAACACAACTGTAGCAAATTATGTTATTATTATAGAAATTATTCTGGCTATCTAGTCCTTGGCATTTATTTTGGTTTCCATATACACGTATACAACAAATACTTCTGGAACTTTTAATATGAAATTGTATTAAAAAGTATTCATTGCAAAGTAAAACCAATTTTCATGAGTCAATTGCATAGTAATTTGTGTTGTTTCACACATGTCAAAACTTTTGCCAATCTGAAAACACACTTTCATTGAATCTGTGAAGTCTTTTCTTCTGCTGGCTTCCAAAGCCTTTGAAACAAATGCTGGCAAATACAAATTTTCAAACACTATAAATGGACAGTGGAGTCACCTTTTCAAAACAATTATTTTGCCATATTATCCATCAGTTCAGTGCTGCTATGCATAACCATCATGTGGGGTCTCATTATATTTTCAAAAAATGTTGTCTGAACACACAAAATTTGTTCCAGCTATTCATTATGCATCTATTGTATAATATTATGAGGTCTGCACCTTTAGGACTGCATGAACTGCAAAATCATAACATAGTTAATACCGTGTTTGGAGGGAGGCCGAGTTCACGTCAGTTTTTCAGGTAGAAATAATCAATGAAGGTAACCAATAAATGAAGAAGCCATTTATACTTGGCTATTTATTTTTCTTCAATCCTAATTAATAAGGCTAAAAGCTGCGTGGCTCCTCGCTCTTTTGTAACCCACTCAATGGTGTCAGGGTGCAGATGAGGGTCAGGTGAGGTGTGCGTGTTAGGGTCATGGTTGGGTGTCCACGGCACAGATGGAGACCCAACTTTATAAGACCCTGGTTTAACAGCAACCTGCAGCACCACCCGCACCTGTACATTTTTTCTCGTACATGGATCAACAAACCTGTGAATACGAACAGTATAAAGATTACATATCACTGGCATTAAAGTCATTATTTAAGTATACATGTAACAGTAAAACTTACCTAAGTAATGTTATTCATGTTATATATTTTTTTAGAATATAGCAGGGCACAGAAAAAATGTCCATTATCATCATTACCCTAATTCCCACTTTCATGTAGTGGGGAAGTACTGTACTTGTTTGGAAAGGTGGAAAAGTATTATACTAGAATTTTTTTTACGGGAACAGTATTCAAAGACATTTGAATACCTCCCACACTTTGCAGCAGCATGGGGAAAGTTAACATCAACACACACACATGCAAACACTTGCAAAATATTGACACTAGTACCTCTGTGTAACCCACTACACCAACTTCAGTATCACAAACCCAGACCTCAAACATTTATTTCCTTCAAACCTGCTTCTTCCATTCCGGGCTGTCCATTACCACTTCTGGATTCACATAAATTCCTTGTTCCCTGCTCTGCTTCATAACCTTAAATTCACCCATTCATTTCTCATCACTAGTCTGTCATTATCCAATCATTCAAACATGACCAACATGTACCTTCATAGCATACATGCCATAATCTGGCATGACACACTTTTATGTAACAAGAGAACAGTGAATAGCAATGGTTGAGTATGTTGCCAGGCAGTCGACAGTATGCAATGGGAATTCACATCTCAATCAGGTGCTAACCGAGAGCCAGGTCAACTTGGGTCAATGGTGAAGAGGTCACAAAGTAGTCAGATACGATGCTGCTAAGTTAATCCATGAGGATTAACTCTTCCACATCAAAAGGATGCCGGGACCTCACATGCCTCGTTCAGCTGTATATAAGATCAAGTTCAATCAACAGAAGATAGAGTGTGTGTGTGTGTGAACTGTGGGGTGTGTTGAAGATTCTCAGGGTGAACATCAAGTACTTCAAGGTTGTGTGGAACTTCGTGTGAGTAAGTATGGAGAAACTACACTCTAAAGCCACCTGAATAGATGTCTTGATAGTTGTGATGGTCTGAAAGCATGTTACGGTTCCAGTAATAGTCTACATGAAAACAGGCAAGTGACCCTTTGTCCAAAGCAGAGATTATTCTCAAGTTATAAATTTACATTATTATAAATCATTGGTATAAAATATCAAAAGTACAGTGGAACCTCGAATAATGAATTTAATCCGTTCCGGTGCCGTGATCGTCATGTGAAACGGATGTCATACAAAACGAATATCCCCATTGACAATAATGGAAATCAAATTAATCCGTTCTACCACCGAAAAACAACAATATGATATTCGATGTTTTCAATAATGGAGCAGCCTACCTTACATACACTGAACAAACCTTAATGACATTTTTCTTTCTTCAAATTTGTTCAATACTTTTTTTCATTTGTTTTATAGCAAAAGGTTCATTCGGTGTTTGGCAGGTAGGCAGCTCCATGATTCTTAAATAAAAAAAAAAAATGAAAAAATAAAAAAAATGAAAAAATAAAAAAAATGAAGAATTTTGAAAAACAACAAGTGTCAAAAAAGTTTGTTCAGTTTTCGGCAGGTAGGCTGCTCCATGTTTCTTAAATAAAACAAAACGAAAAATAAAAAAAACGGTTGAAACAATTTAAAAAACGGACAAATGCCATGAAGGTTCGTTCAGTGTTTGTCGGGTAGGCTGCTCCATTATGACAGTTTTTTTTTTTTTCAAATGTGTTCCATTTGTTTTGTATTTTTCATTTGTCTCAATAATGGAGCAGCCTAGCTGAAAAACACTGAACAAAACTTTTTGGCATTTGTCCATTTTTCAAATTCTTTCAACTGTTTATTGTATTTTCGTTTTTTTTTTATATAAGAAACATGGAGCAGCCTACCTGCCAAACACCGAACAAACCTTTTTGACTTTTTTTTTTAAATTTTATTTCTTTTTTTTTTCTACGAAACAATTGATGCTTTGCAACATCACAGCAGTCGCCCCTTTATATCCCAGCATCATTAGCATCTTAAAAAAAAAAAACATAATTTATTTGCATCGTCGGAGGCGTCCGAGAATGTGCGAGAAGCAGCGCGACCCCACCATGTGGTGGTGTCGTTATTCAAACGAGCGCTCGCCACATAAGATGAACTGTCGGCGATCTGGGCGTTCATTACCCAAAATGCTCACCAATTGAGGCAATCGTCACTCGAGGTTCTACTGTATATGGTGAAAACGTTGTCTTTGAAGAAATTGGTTTTCTGTAAATGGAATTCTCGGGTATACTCAAATATTTTTTGAATTTCATATTTCACATCAATAACACACTGTATTAATGTGACCAAATGTAATGAAGCTTAACCTAACTAAACCCAACCTTATCCTAAAGTAACCTTAACCTAACCTAATGATGAACATAAGAGTAGATAATAGCACTGTCTATTCCTGTGAGTGGATTTCCTCCCTGAGGCCAGGTTGTAATACTTGCCAATCATCTTTTTTCAATATTTGTATTATTCTGAAGTAATAAATATTAGTAAGAAATAAATATTCCCAGGCAATATTTATGTTAAGAGCCAGTCAATACTGTTAGTCTCTTTGTTTACACTGTTGCAATACAAAATGTGCATGTACTTACAAAACTGCTGGAGCAAACTGATCTGTTGAAGCATAGTTGACTGTGGGAGAAAAACAAAGCTGGGATCCGTCACTATCATCATCCTTACTGCGGCGACCAGCTAGTGTTGAGCTGACACCAAGTTCACCTGCAAGGGAGAAGGGGGGGGGGGGATTGCATTAATAATACTCAATTCTCTCCTTGATAATACAAGTCATATTGTTTGACATTTATCCAAGCTATGTATATACACTACAAGATTTAGCGCCTTACCACTGAAGAGCAACTCGCCCTTGTCAAGCATCCGCCTGACTGCTCCAGGTCTTGTGCCATGGTATGCCATATGCCATGACTCGTTATTGTCTCCCACACCACTCACAAGTGCAAACCGACACCAACCAAATGGCTGAGAGTAGTGCTTTGGAGGATTTCCTGAAAGAATACATGAAATAAGGCTACCTATTTATTACCTAAACATTACATGTAACACTTCAAAATGTTTAAATATTAGAAGAGAAGACTGCAACAAGTAAAGTAGTTAATGAAAACAATCATGCGTTAATATGTTTGCCTTTTTTCTACAGTAGCAATAGGAATATGTGGTTATTCTGTTACCAATCATCTTCATATATACAGTAGTAATCACTATCAAAGTAGAGGAAAACTTTTGATATTTACCCACCAAAATATTCTTATATAAGTAACACTTTCATGTGCAATTTCATTTAAAACTACTGGCACTCAAATTTAACAAAGAAAAGCAATATTCCTAAGTAACCAGTGGAAACACTAACGTGGGGGAAAGTAAATGAAAGTACCCCTTGTCAAATAATGAAACCGGCCCAGGCACATTTCAAAATGTTATACACAACCAAAGAGCACATTCACTCCAAACATCTACCACCTACGGGCTACTCATGCCCATGCCACCTCTCGTGGTCGCTTAATCTTCATAAATCAATCAACATAATGAAAGCTGCTTTCCCACACGCTACTTTAGTTTTATACCTGTGCCTTTCTCTCCTCCCTTCCTCTAGCTCTGCCCCATGTACATGCTTCCTGAGGCAAGTCTCATTCTTTGTCTCTATTCTCATTTTAGTTCAGTTAGCAATTGGTGACTGCTTCATTTTGGCGTTGACTAAACAATAAAGTTAAAAAAAAATTTAGACAAGCTTCAAGAGTTCTGAAGTTCCTTCTAAAATTTTCAACATTTGATAGCTGAAATGTTGAGATGATCTTAAATGATGCTGCCCACTCCTCCCTCATGATAACCTAAAGGTAACAAGGTGTCTGAAAATAAAATTACAATATATTTTCCTTTGCAATTACAATTTCCAAGCCTTTATTGTGACTTCTACACTACAGCCCCAGCTGTTAGGCTTATCATTTATTTTTGGATCTGACATACTCAAGTAAATATAGCCTCTTTCTCCCCAATGCATTCTTTATTTTTTGTTAAATTTATTCATCAATCTCATCCCACTTCTATCTGAAACATAACCTACCCTTTCTACATATAGCAATGGCTCACTAATCTGGTTGGAGTGTGTAGCGATATTTGCCATTAGTTGAGCATCTTAAGTTTACCAGCACTAAATGCCTAACAGTAAATGAGTGCTAATCAAAAACTCTTCAGACTGTATAAACGTTATGAACAACTAACACACTCCATCAATGTGGAAGAAAATGTAATTCAAGAACACTGGATGCACAATCCACCTGTTTACCTGCTGGGCCAGGAGATACATATAATAGATACAAACCACATGACAGGTAATACAGCAAAGCTGTAAAGATACACAAATACTTGTAAAGATAATGTAGTGTACCTGCTGTCTTGCTTGAATGAACTGATTCAGACTCAACCCCTTCCACTGTACTGGAGTGAACGATATGGAAGAAAATGCAAGATTGAACCAGTGAAGAGCAGAGGTGCCATAGGCACAATCAGAGAACACTGTATAAACATCAGAGGTCCACAGTTGTTCAACGTTCTCCCAGCGACTATAAGAAATATTGCCGGAACAACCATGGACATCTTCAAGAGAAAACTGGACTGTTTTCTAAGAGAAATTCCGGATCAGCTGGGCTGTGGTGGGTATGTGGGCCTGCGGGCCACTCCAAACAACAGCCTAGTGGACCAAACTCTCACAAGTCGAGCCTGGCCTCAGGCCGGGCTTGGGGAGTAGAAGAACTCCCAGAACCCCCATCAAGCAGGTATCACTGCAAAAGCACATTCATTGCATCCAAATGTTATCATTTGTTCCCATTATGTGTTCCAAATTATTGTTTTTATTAGTGCAAATAAGATCTTGAACATGGTTAATACCAAAATACTCAGTATCTTGTAAAAATAACATGTATATTAATAATATTCAATTAAGGTTTTTGGCACTGCATTTCAGCTCAGTAAAGACTTGCTTCATTGTAAAACTCTGCCATCAATCCTTATTACACCTGACCGAAGCCTTACTTCATTCCTGGACTTCTGGGAATGTCCGGGAATGTAGTAGAATAGATGCCATTCCAGTGGTAATATACTTAACATAAAACAGTAATCTTTATAAAAATCCCTGATTTTATAGATAAGCATTTGCCAACATGAACAAGAGTATGTGAACCGGGTTACCTTTTGTGTAGTAAGGTTCATCTCCTCGAATTTTGTGGCAGGTCTCGCAGTAACACAGGTTTCCATCTGTGTTGAAGTATCCCTCTGTCGACAAAAAAAAAAAAAAATGATAAATTCCAGAGTTCTGCAGGGTGATAATGAATACTGCCATGCATGGGCTGTCAGTGACTGCCTCATGCATCCAGATGTTGCCAAGTGTAGATGAAAATATATTTCTAGCATACAATTTACATTTCAATGTGTGAAATCCAAACAATACTAAAAACACTCAAATGAGAGCAAAATAAATTCTAAAGTTAAGAGATTCTAACTGCAAGAAATCAATATTTAACACTGCTCAAAATTATCTTCTAAATAATGAACATGTATTTGGAGCATCTCAGAAAGTTAGACAAAGAAAAAAAATCAATACTTTAGAGATGACTGAAAAGCATGAGAAATTAAATGGATAATAATCATTGCAAGTATTAAAGTTCAGGTATTTATTACAGAGATTGCTCTCTCTGCAGTAATAAATAAATATAATACTTGTACAGTATTATGATAAAGATAAGCTTTTCACAAGCCACTGTGTTGTACAGTTCAATAACATACACAGGGTGTAGGAGTATTTTTCTATCCAAACTTCACTGTTATTAAGAATGCCTCAGCCTTCTACGTAAAACTATATATTAATACCATAATCAATAGAAAATACACAGTTGCTGATGAAATGCTGATAACTGGTTTAGCCAGCATGAAAGCCAAGTTCACTAAAAAATTACATGTTTAATAACTAACAAAAACAAATTTCTTACCAGGCAAGGCCAAGGAAGTCTTGAATCGATGACACATATTTTGGTACTCGCAGTTCTTAACGATACTGCTGTCTGGTAAGGCTCGTATAACACCCTGAAGACGTTCGAATAAAATGTCTTAATATATTTCTGCCTACAGGAAGTCAGCTTAAGCTTAAGAATATTGTTTTCTAAGATATTAAAACTTTCAAACTAAAATTTTCAACACTGCAAAATATTACTGACTAAAAGTTTGTGATGTACTTAATTTTCATCAGTAAAACAAGACAAGCATATGAAGAACGAATATCATTCTTAAGATTGGATATTTTTTGAAGTGAAATGTATGTATCTATTGTTAACACAAAATTTTGATGCATTATGTATTGAATTACTATCAAAAAGAATAATTTGAAAATATAATGAGTGGATATGATGAAAAAAGTACTAATGTGAACATGGTTGGATTTGATAGTAAGAGAACTGCAAGCTCTTATGATAAATCTATAAGTGATTAGATCAATGAAGCTGAAATATGGACAAGTTGCAGAAATTGGTAAATGTTGTGGAGAAAAGGGAATGTAGTGTGGATAGGGTATCTTCTAAAACCTGGACTGTGGTATTGGTTGGTACTGGATGGTGCCTTCCATTCTCCAAGTCAGTCAGATAGTACTTCTGGTTGAGATACATTTAATTCATTATGGTTTAGTCAATAGTGCATGTGCCTGGGAAAGTCCAGGGACATGAGTTCAATCCCAATGTACAGACTCCATATTTTCTTGAATATACTGTAACAGGTGTTCAAAATTTATCACAAGGCATGGAATAGTGATACTGGGCCAGAAGACTAGAAAATAGCTATGATAGTATCAATGAATAACAATAAAAGGGGAAGAGTAGGAATTAGAGAGACATTAGTTTACCAAGTATAGTGTGGTTTGGATATCATATCTTCAACCACATTATTGTTACTCATTGTCTGCATATACATAGGTAAAGTGAATGATAGGAGAATGATTGGAAAAGTCCACACAGTTACTGAGACTGAACAGCGACGAACAAGTGGGTTCTACGGTGGAAGAGGATGTGTAGATATTTGCACCGAGACAGCGTGTATGGAAGACACTTTAAGGCTAAAACGTACATGGCTGGCATTCATGAGCTTGGAAAATGTATATGGTAAAGTTAATAAAAGGGTGCTTAAAGATGAGCATGTATGGAATTGCCACAGTGCTGCTAAATGCTGTGAAATGTTTCTATGTAAGCAGCAATGCATATGGAAGAGTTAATGGTGTAATGAGTCATTGGTTTGACATTAATATAAGTGTACATCAGGGGCCAGACTCCCAAAGCAGTTATGCAAGTACTTACAAACGTGTACATCTTTCCCTCAGTCTTTGACGGCTTTGGTTACATATATTAAACAGTTTATGGATAACAAAATAAGAATATATATACCTGTACAGCCAAAGATTTGCATGGAGTGGTGGTGCCACTCTGGTGTATGGTTATGAGACAACTGTACAGTATGAACATGAAAACTGAAGAGCTAAAGCAGTAGAAATGGATAATCTGAGATGCATGCATGGTGTTAGAAAAACAGAGCATGTAATGAAAATATAGTGGAGATAGATGAGGAGTGCAACAAATGAACCACAAGTTTCAGGAGAGCATACAAAGATGATTTGGGCATTTTTAACAAATGGATGATGAAAGACTGGTAAATACTGTAGTGTGTATTAAAGTGAATTTGAGAGTATGGGGTGAAGGAGAAGGTGGGCAAAGATGATCAGTATGTGAGGAAGTAGTGTTTGTGCGTGTGTGCGTGCGTGTGTGGGGGGGGGGGGGGCAATGCACATGATATGGTTATGGTAGGGTATAAGGCTGGGTGAAAGTTTTTTGTAAGAATTAAATTAATGTAATTGTGTGAAATAAATATGATAATTAATCAGGAACACTGTATACCAGGTCTTACAATGCAGTGGACAGCTGATGTGGATGACTATTGTGTTTGTGGTGGTGCTTGCTTATCCATGATGCTCTATGCTGTACAGTATTTATAATGATAAAGTGAATGGATGAATAACATTTTAAATGTTCTAATATTTATATACCTTAACCTTCTTTACTATATTTCTCTCCTGTTTTTATTTAGATTGATACTTTTCTGCCCCATGAAAAGTGGGATGGGGTAATGGTTATGACAATATATACGCAGAAGAAACAGTTTACACATGTCATAACAAGAAATATTATCATTTTGCTTGTGTGTGTTAGAAGAGTGGTGGTGGCTTATGGTACAGCTTCTTTTGTGCAAACATGGTATTACAACAGATTGTTCATTAAACAGTTACCATTATCCTCTAAATAGGTGCTCATCCTTACCTTATCCTTATCTTTAGGCGGGTGAGATTGTGTGATGTGTTCTACGTCGTTGGAGCCAGGTTGTCTTACTACACTCGAGTCGTTATTAGAAATATTACTGCTGCTGTTCTCTTGGTTCAGACTAGAGACCATTACACCACTCCCTGGCTGTTGCGCAGGCTGTGACTGCTGTTGTGACTGTGGCTGTTGTTGTTGCTGCTGCTGCTGTTGCTGCTGCTGCTGCTGTTGAATATTGTGGGAGTGATGATGGGAGTGGTGATGGTGGTGGTGGTGATGGTGGTGAATCTTCATAAGGTTCTTCTTATTTTGCTCCTGGCCCAGTTGTGGGGTGGTGGTAGTGACTGTGTTAGCAGTGATGGTAGAATTTGTGGTTGAAATAGCCGTTGTGTTGGTTTGTTGGGAGTTGACTGTGGTGTTGGTAGCAACTGTACTGCTTGTGGTGGTAATATTACTTGAAGCAGTTGTGGTGGTAACTGCAGACTCACTACTCACACTACTGTTACACATGGTCACCTGTTGGCAAAATTAATGCTTTATAATCACATAATAAATATGTATATAATATGATGACCAAACCACACACCAGAAGATGAAGAGACGACGACATTTTGGTCCATCCTGGACCATTATCAAGACGATTGTCTTGATAATAGTCCAATACGGACTGGAACGTCATCTCTTCATCTTCTGGTGTGTGGTTTGGTCATTACATCTTCTCCCATATGATTGTGACTCATCATCTGCACAAGGATAAAGTAGTCCATAGAAATGGTAGATAACTGATGAAATAATTGCGTAACTGATGAAATAATTGCATAACTGATGAAATAATTGCGTAACTGATGAAATAATTGCGTAACTGATGAAATAATTGCGTAACTGATGAAATAATTGCGTAACTGATGAAATAATTGCGTAACATGTTAATGTTACAACTAAGCTTATGAAGGTTGTTACATTTACTCAAAATATGACAAACCTCCTGACACTGCCCATACAGGTCAAGCAACACATGAGGGTTTGGGGGAATTTCCTTGGCTGCAACACCTTGATCTACGCCATTCACAAGGAGGTGAAGGCGAGCCTCGTGGTCCACCATGATGCCAACCACATGACCTCCTGTACCACCACTTCCCCCAGCCAAGCTATCCAAGTCAGGCCCATAACGTCCTTTGATCTACAAGTGTACAAGTTATACAAATATTATCATAATACCTTGAGTTATTCTGGCAAAAAAAGATCAAGATCACATTAAGTACAAGCTAAAGATTATCATTTATTTATCTTTTAACTAAAAAATTTAAATTTTGTATTATGTACAATTATGCACTAAATATGTGAACTTTTGTATTTGGGCCAGAGTACTATGTTAAATTTAGTATTAATTCTTTAATTCAAATGTTGTATGTACTTGATGAGATACTGTATACAGTATTTGAAATTTTTTTCATATATATATATATATTCAAGGCTGAAATACTTGGACAAATAAGTCACTTCCTGTATAAAAATAGATGCTTGAGTCCAGTAACATAAAAACTACTCACTTTGACTCCATTGTAGAAAACAGAGTCACCGGATATGATCCAAGTGTTTCGTTTGAGAGCAAAAGCTGTATTCGGTAGATGAAGCTTCTCAGGTGACTGGGCAGTGACTCCGATCATCAGAGAGCTTGACCATCGTGGATTAAGGGCTCCTAGTCGCACCTTGAAAATAATTGAAGTTCCTGAACCCATTATGTGCCTCTGTAACCTTTTCCAGTATTGCCCACAGGATGGGTATGGGGGTGCACAACAAACAAACAAAATCAAAGTGCTTGGGAGAATCCTGAATGATTACATTAAGAGGAAACAGACACTTATGCAAGTGATAAAGTAGAAATATTTAGTCTGAACTAGCTTACAGGTTTCTTAATAGCCTTTTTGATTTACCTAGACAGTAGCTTCACAGTTAATTTACATGCACATCATTATTACCCCATATACCACATGCATGAGTTGAAGCACTTAGCCTTTAGTGGGAAGGAGATAGATGGGCTCCCAGTTAAATCTCTTCCCACATCATCAAAGTGAATTACTTTTTGCTTGAAGGTTCCAAGCAAAACACTAGCCCCAACCAGAAAATCTGTACTCTAAACTTACTTGGAAGACAACATTCCTGGGAAGGGGCTTAGCAGACATGACAATGCCTTGATTATAACTTTCTGTTCGTCTCGCTGATAGGCGGTCTGATGAAAGCAAAATATTTTTTCCTGTGTTTTCATGAAACTGAACTATTGAAACTTCTTTATTATTAATCGATGACGCTTGCTGTTGTCGACTCTCTGTAGATGTGTCAAGCGTTCCATGTACGTGCCCATTAGTCCGTGCATCTGAAGTCTGTGCGTGCCGCCCATTTTGTCCCGAATCTTGCCGATTGTGGTCATTTGTGCTAGCTACCTTACCATCTGTTGATAAGCGAAGATCTAAGTGTGGTAGGTGTGCAGAGGTGGCAGGGTGAAAGCCTGAATTGATGGATATGTGTCCCAGTGGATGTCTAGAGTCTGGTTGAGAGAGTTCTAGTGAATCTTGGGAGACAGCATTATTATTTGTTGCTACAACTGTTGAATCCATGATGGGAGAGCTGGCTTGTCTGGAAACACTTGTTGCTACCACAGACTCTGTAAACCCAAACAAGTCCACAACACCAAACACACGCTGAAAGGAAAACAAAAAATTAACCTCTTCATTGCTGACACTATTATACAAGATGTAATCTGTAATCAGAATTTTCCTGAAATGTTTTGGTAATGCTCAGAATTTAAATACTCTAAACACTACCTATGATAAAATACTTAAGAATTTTGTTTATATTTACTGCTTCCTCCAGAGACAATGTTAATATGTGAAATATGTTAGAACAACTTTAGAAATTACACTCGGAAATAATAAAAAAACAAAGATCCCTCTCAACAGATAATATGAAGACATGCTATTGGCTTCTAAATGAGACTACATAGTGAATGATACCATTGAAAGGCAACAATAATGCAAGAGAACCAATTTAGAGACATCTACCAAATCTGTGGTTGCCACTAGAGAAATGTTCTCCAAATGCTCCGATCTGTCACAAAATTGTATTTACGTGACTTTGCTTTTCTTCCATTTCATTCACATCAAATCACTGAAAGACAGAGCCAAATACAGCACAGTGCAGAGTAACCTTTATCAAATTGATTGCCGTGGGCCAGAATCCCTGGTGGGTCAGAATGAATTTGCTGACAAAATCTTGATTAGCCAGAATATTGTGTTCACTTCACCAAGCTGTTTGGTACCTGGTTGATACCTGGTTGATGGGGTTCTGGGAGTTCTTCTACTCCCCAAGCCCGGCCCGAGGCCAGGCTTGACTTGTGAGAGTTTGGTCCACTAGGCTGTTGCTTGGAGCGGCCCGCAGGCCCACATACCCACCACAGTCAACCACAGTTGTGGTAAACCACCACAACCTGATGAAGGCATATCCATATTTCATAAAAAGGAAAAAAAAGAAATCCCTTTTCTCTTACCTTTAGTAATAAATACTAATAAAAAATAAGAGTTATCTTTTGCAAAGTTTTTCTAGACTACAATATTTACTGCTAACAGTGAATTTCTTTAGGGTATTTTTTTATTTTACTGCAGTTGCCTTAGGCTTGACAGGAATAGAATGGATCTCTTCATGTGTGCTTTTTTTCCTCACACTCACATCTCATGACGTTATGGTATTCAATGATTTTCATCGACTTTTCTTTTGATATTGTATTATTTGAGTTGAAACCAATTTTACCAGCTGGAGTAGTGTGGCAAAATCAGGTCCAGGATTCATCAAACATTTTTGCAACAACTTTTGAGACCTGTACATGTTTCCTCAATCATGGCTTAGTTTACCTTCATTAGATGCTAAATGGGCCTTGAAGCACTATAATGTTACTTATAACAATAATAACCTAGAGTTGTTGTTTCGAAGATTGAAAACTGTTTAAAAAATGCAATCAAAGCTGTCATGATCAAGGAAAGACACTGGGGTTTTGTAGGCGGACATTAAGATGCTTGATGAATTCTTGTCTAGGTTAATAGAAAAAATGTATCTTAGTATGGGATAAAAGACTAAAATTATCACAAGCTTGTGCAAGATTCAGAAGTGAAGTGGCTGACATAGGGATTTATTAATGACAAGGTTCCACTATATACTTCAATATTATCTTTTCTAGAAAACATTTAAATGAGATATTGAGGCTTACCTTTGTCACATTTGTAGCTGCCACACCAAAATCTTCTCCATTAATATAAAACCTCATTGCCCCATCAGTCGTCCTTTTGATTCCCACTCGATCCCCAATGAGCAGTCTTCCCATATTGGGACTGAAGTTGAGCCGCAGAACAGAAGAGCCATTTCTCCTCACGTCAGATCCACTGATCCACCAAGTGTCTGCAGACTCGATCCCTGCCAAGGATGCCGGCAGGTTGACAGAGGGGTACGAGTCGCTAACTGGGAGGGAGGTGAGGCCAATCCCTAAGGAGCCGCAGTAACCCACAGCTACCCGATCAATTTGTACCTGTAGGTAATGCATAAGAGGCAAAAGGGGCTTTACAATGTGTGTTTATACTGTATATACAAATTCAGTAATCTTTCAGTTTTAAATAAATTAAAAAGAGTTGTTTAAATACAGCATATTGTACAGTATCCACAAGTAAATTCCTACCTCAAACAGTTCTTCAGGTTCTAAAGGGTGCGAGGTAAATATAAGCCCATGATTGAAGTGTCTGATACGTGTGGCTGTAGTGTTGTTGTTACTTAGAGCAATGTTTGCTCCACAACATTTGGAAAACCGATGTATTACCTGAAAAAGACACTACTGTTAAATTTAACAAGGAGTTACTGTATCATATATGACAAATAATTCACATCTCTACAAACCATACAAATAGCAATATAAAGGTTACCAATGTTTTCATTCCTGTTCTAATGGTTTTCATCAAAAGATACCTATACTGTCTCTGTCCAAGTTTAAAACAAATAACTACTACATATTAAAATGACAACATTAAGAACATTTGAGTGCATTTGACCACAACTAAGACAGCTTATACAAGGAGAAAACACAACTGTGTATATGTGAATGACGAGCATTTAAGACGCAGCCTATCTGAAACTTGGTAATGGGATGCTGATTTCTGAAACCTTTTAAAAAAAAGAGGTACTGTATGTGCTTTTTGTTATTTTACTATGATTTTTCTGTGTTTTGAATCTTGTTTTTCAAAACAAGATTCCATGTTTTTGTAATCTTGCTCATACCATGTTGTGTGCCGAGCATTGCTGAGGTTGCCATCACGGGGATGGAGGTATTCATCTCTTCCACCAATGAAGAGGTGCACTGTTACACTCCGGTTTGATTGTAGCTGTTCGGAATCTGTTCAGTTGGAGTATTGTCTATCATGCCTGGTACATTTTGTCAAACAAGTCAAACAATGTTGAATATATACAATATTTCAATTAGAAACCTTGCCACGTCCTAATGTTAAACAAGTCTTATCTGAGCATTGCCAAATACAACTCCTTCAAAAAGCAAATCTGATAATTATACCTCTCAAATTCTAAAGACTTATCTGTTCATCTATAATGCCCACAAAACCTTCTGAATATTAGAGGACAAAGCATTTGGTTCAGCATTATCATATTCCCCCCCCCCCCTCACTCAGTTCTTAGTATACTCACCTAGCTGTTCTTGCCTAGTTGTACTCACCTAGTTGTGCTTACAGAGGTTGAGCTTTGGCTCTTTGGTCCCACCTCTCAACCGTCAATCTACTGGTGTACAGATTCCTGAGCTTCTCGAGCTCTATCATATCTATCTACATTTGAAACTGTGTATGGAGTCAGCCTCCACCACATCACTTCCTAGTGCATTCCATTTACTAACTCCTCTGACACTGAAAAAGTTCTTTCTAATGTCTCTGTGGCTCATTTGTTGCTCAGCTTCCACCTGTTTCTCCCTTGTGCATGAACCACCCTTGTTAAATAATCCCTCTTTGTCTACCCTGTCAATTCCACTGAGAATTTTTTTCTGTGGTGTTCATGTCCCCCCCCCCCCCCCCGAGCTCTTCTGACTTCCAGGACGTGAGGTGCAGTTCGCTCAGCCTTTCCTTGCAACTCATGCCTCTTAGTTCTGGGACTAGCCTAGTGGCATACCTCTGAACTTTTTCCAGCTTCGTCTTCCACTTGACAAGGTATGGGCTCCATGCTGGAGCGGCATACTCCAGGATTGGCCTTACATATGTGGTTCTGAAAGATTCGTTACAGTGTGCTGCTATGAATGTGCCTACTTTGGGAAGAATTCCTTTGCTTCTATTTCAAATACCAATTTTCTTTTATCTTGGTACTGTATTTGCAACAGTTTAACCATTTCTGAGATAGGAAACTGATCACTAAAGTTCTTCAAACTTATTTCAAGTACAGGTAATTTCAAACAAGGAGAACCCTTTCAAGTTCTCGCAACTAGAAGAAGATTCATTCCTCCATCTTTAAACTTTAAGAATTTAAAATTATCATACTGAAAATTACACAAGTTAATCATTATTGTGATAACCAGTGCGGCTTCTAAAAGATACACTCTTCTTACTGGTGAACAGTCCGAACACAAGAGTTGGTGCTCATCTACAAGCACAGCTCTATCATTATTCAAGTAATTTCCAAAATATCTGTCAGAGTTCAGCACAAAGCTTTAATCCCCTATCTTCACACTCTTTTTTGTTCTTTTTTCTGTTTTCCATACTCACTTTTTATAGTTTCTATCTCTGTCACTGATGATCATGCCAATTCTATCAAATATATACTCAATAGTACAGTGGAACCTCGATTAACGAATTTAATCCGTTCTGGCACCGAGCTCGTCATGTGAAATGGTTGTCTTCCAAAACGAATTTCCCTATTTAAAATATTGGGAATAAAAATAATCCGTTCCACCACTGACAAACATCAATATGATATTCGATTTTTTAAATAATGGAGCAGCCTACCTGACATACACTGAATGAACCTTCATGACATTTTTCTTCTTCAAATTTGTTCATTTTTTTTTTTTTAGAAACATGGAACAGCCTACCTGACATACACTGAACAAACCTTTATGACATTTGTTCTTTTTTCAACTTTGTTCACTTTTATTTAATTTTTCATTTATTTTTATAGCAAAAGGTTCGTTCAGTGTATGTCAAGAAGGCTGCTCCATGTTTTGTAAAAAAAAAAAAAAAAAAAAAAAAAAAAATTGAAAAAAGGAAAAAGTCATAAAGGTTCTTTCAGAGTTTGTTAGGTAGGATGCTCCATTATGACAATCTTTCTTCATTTCAAATGTGTTTCAATTTGTTTTGCATTTTTCATTTATTTAATAATAATGGAGCAGCCTACCTGACACACTGAACAAAAATTTATGACTTTTTCCTTTTTTTCATATTTGTTCAATTTTTTTTTTTTTTAAGAAACATGGAGCAGCTTACTTGACATACACTGAACAAACCTTTTTGACACGTGTTCTTTTTTTGTAATGTTTTCATTTATTTCTGTTTATTCTACAAAAAAATTCAATGCTTTGCAACATCACAGCAGTCATCCCCTTACATCCCAGCATTATTAGCATCTTTAAACAAAATAAATAATTTATTTGCATCGTCGGAGGCGTCCGAGAATGTGCAAGAAGCAGCGGGAACACACCATGTGGTTTTCTCGTTAATCAAACAAGTGCTCGCCAATCGAGACAAATTATCGGCGATCGGCTCGCTCGTTATTCAAAATGCTCGTAAATTGAGGCGCTTATCACTCCAGGTTCCACTGCAGTCTTTTTCAGGGCTCTGTCCTGTCTTGAAGGGCTATGCATTCTGTTTCCTACCCATTTTCTTCTCTATGTTGCTGATTACACCCCATACCTCCATCAGTATGCTCTCTCATGTTGATAACTCTGGTTCATACAACTACCTACGTTCTCCATTTACTTTCCTCTCATTGCTTTTCTTATGATTAATTTATATTAAATCTTTAAACTGTCTTCTCATCATCCTAATACAGTACTGTGACATAAATTGTGCCAAAACCTCTCTCGCTGCTGTAATGGTAAACTACACTTTGTTTATCCAATATATATCACCTTTCAAATTATAAGCAAAATGTTACTCATGTTATGCCAAATATATTTTATTTTAGGTGCTGTACACCTGATTAATCCAGCCATTATTGTAATGATTTGTATACGTTGTTATGAATAAAGTTTCTGATTCTGATTAATTCAGATCTTAATATCCTCCTCCAGCAGATGGTACAACAATCTTTAGTATGTTCAACTCTTACAAAAGCCATACTTTATTTATACTGTATAAATAAGATACACTTGAGTGTTCATTTTTCTTCATCCTTTATCAGCTACAGATACTTTTTTTTTTTTCATTTTAAATATTTGATCACTTAAGGAAAACTCATTTACTCAACAGTAAAATCAGCTGGCATGAAGCTTTAGAATTTGGTGCAAATTTAGAGGATACCTTTTTAGTAATCAATGCCTGAAGCTTAATAAATGGTTCATACATTCTTGTATATTCGTTAATAGTTACTTAACATGGGAACCCGCAGGTATTTTTCTCTAGACCTGATTGATGCTTTACATGATTTTACATCGATTGAACCATCTAGAATTCTATACACATGTTTTACACATACCACATGTATATAAATGACCAAGACACTATATAGGGAAAACCTTACACAAGACTCTCCAAGGGCATATAATGGAAGTCAAGACAAGATACACAAAGACAGACTAATGACACACTTTGTTACATACCTCTGAGCCAACACTAGCCTGACCCGCTGCTGGCAGAGACAGATGTGACATGTCCAAGTACTGTGACACGGAGATAAGGGACTGATCATGTCTGATGGGGTTGTGCACAATCGTCACTTGAGCACACTGCCCATACAGGTCAATCACAGGCCACAGACCTGGAAGTAATCATGCACAGATTCTAAACATACTTAAGATGACAATAAAGCAAAACCAAGAAGCTTCTTTCTTTACCTTCTCCTGTTTATTTTTCATAAATAGGTAGCAAACCTTCAATCAAGATATCATAAACAAATCATTAATATATAATGCAGTATATTTAATTAAATATTTTCTGGCCACATAAACACTGTACACAAAATGCATACAAGAGTCACTGATATCCCAGCATCCTCAACATATCCATTAAACACACTTAATGTACTAAGCCCAATACAGTAGTTAAGTGCTGCAGGGTCTTTTGAAATTGTTTAAAGTGTTGTGTTTGCATTGAGCTGTTAAGAGTTATGATAAATTATGAGTAGCTGTGCCAGGTAAAAAGATGACCTCTTACCTGTAGGTTACCTGTAGTTTACCTGTAGTCAGTTCTGAGAGTTCTTCTACTCCAACACTGGCCTAGGACCAGGTTTTTCGTATTATAACTTGATAAAAAGACTGTTGTCTAGAGTGGCCTGCAGGTCAACATATTCATTACAACCTGACTGACCCGACACTTCCTGCAGGAACTTGTCCACTTGTCTCGAATAACTTCACTTTTCTTCTGGCAATATTTCTCATATTTGCTTGGAGGAGGTTGAAGAGCCTGTGGGCCTCTGATGTTTACAATGTTCTCTGATTATGTCTAGCACTTTTACTCTTCACTGGCTCTTATTTTGCATTTCCTACCATATCTTTCACACCAATAAGTTGTTACTGTGTTGTGTATATTTGGGACGTAGCCTTTCAGTAACTTCTATATATACTTTACTGAATATTATGTGATGCCTCTCTCACCTTCTTTCCAGAGAGTACATTTTGAGTGCTTTATGATTGTCCCAATAATTTAGGTGTTTCTAATCATTTATCCATGGCTGGCATATGACTGTGGACATTCTCTAATAATTCAGGAGAAACAGCTATTCAAACCATATAAAATCAAAGCCTAAATTTTACTTTGCAGCAATATTTTTGTTATTATGTTTTTCCTCAGTCACAGACTACACTTACCCTTGTGTAACTTAACATTTAAGACAGGATTCAGTTAGGGTCTGCCAGTAATTCTTGACTTGACTCCCAGGCCACTTCTCCCAACTTCACTGAGTCTGGCTTGTCAGACATTTCCATGTTAGTCTCCAGCTCTATTTCTCTACCAAAACATTAAGTGTTGAATGCAGCCACATCAACATTTGGGTAATGGTACTATCTGGATTTCATTCATGTGTATCTCTCTGCCAGGGGCTTTGCATAAGCATCTATATTCCAACAGCAATATAAAAGGTTTTGACTTAACACGGGGTGCTATTCCAATTTCCTCTGATTGTGATGTTGGACACTGGCTATAACATACCTTTCAGCATTGCAATATTAAATCCTTGAAGCAGTTCACATCCACAGGGGTGTTGAATGTATTTGCAGACAGCCTCTCTCAGTCCCATCTGATTGTGACAACCGGAGGTGGAGGAGACCTCCTGTCAGTAGATGTGTGTGTAACTTTCACCATCCATATGGAAATGTGAGCTGCTTGGATTTCTAACTCTCTTTCAAATCTGTTTTGGGTTTGGAGTGGACACAGTTCCAACTAAACCCAATGTGAGATAAATGTTTTTTTTTACACCAGTCCAGATGCTTAATATGGACCATCCAAAATTAGAAAGCCTGGTGTGCTGTACCATTTTGTTTGATCTGTAACTGATTCAGCCATGGTTTATAACCTTGTTCTACAGTTGTTCCAATTAGTTCCCTTCCCTACCCATATGTGGCAAATCAGTCATCTATGTTATATAAATATTTTTAGGCTTTCCTACGAGTTTTTAGACCGGGGGCATCTTTTGTTAAGGGAGCATATTTTTGTCATCAATATGAGGAGCAGGTGGCAAAAAATTTTAAGGCATCACTTTGGCATCTTCGTCAATATTATGAGGAGGCCTGGTGGGTTTTCCAAAGGTATATTACATTTCACCACCTGTCCTTTATTTCAGCTAAATTTCTCAGAACTTTTCTTGGATTTTTATGGAAAGGTGACCATGCCCCAAATCCTCACCTCCAACAGAGATGCTTTGGTGGAACAGCTATATCTTAGCTTCAGCCTTGACCATTCAACATATGTTCTTCAAATACTCTCAATGGAATTGCCTGATCTCTCGATGTGATATTGAATTTCCTTAACTTAAGATTGGCTTATGGTCTTAACATTTTAAGACCCAATTTCTGATGGTTCTTGCTACATTAATTGAGTCTGTGATAAAATCCGTATGACCAGTGATGAGGGTTCAAACATATGCGACTAGACCACAACATGGTATAAGGACTGCAGCCTGGGTTCTTCTGAACACACAAAGCTTCACATGGCTTCCTGAGGCTTCTACTGAAGCCTCAGGAAATCCTTGTGTGTTCAATATTTTCTGAATGCATTGGCAGGCTTCAGAACCAGTGAATCAGTTTGAGTAACACAACGATATATTATGCTCTTCTCTTTGGGAAGTCTAAATGGCAAGGGTATATATAATATCATGCTCAGATCTAGGCATCTTAATCATTTTGAGCTTCCAGAACAGACACCTACTTTATTTAAAGGAATGCAACCCCTTACATGAGTAATTGCACAACATGTCAATAATTAGTTTCAATAAAGTGAAGTGAAAGTAAAGTGCAAACTCTAGCAAGAAATACATACAGTACTGTAATAAAATTACAACTGGAGAAGAAAGCATCAATTGCAGATGAATACATTTTCTTCAGCATTCACTTACTCATCTGCCTGTACCCATCAAAACCTACTTTCTGCTCCTTTAATGAGGATTCATGCACAAACTAAAGTTTCCTCTTACAGTATAACAATATCCTTCAAATATAAATTATCATCAAATATCTAATCTACTTTGTGCAACTCTCCTCTATATTAATGATTTGTTTGCTTATCTTGAATGGGAATGACTCCTGCAAATAATCCAACCATAATATTATTTACCATGACCATCACTGCCTCAAGACAAACTGAACATTAAAAAAAAAAAAAGACTTTGAAGACATACCTTATCAATACACACATCTAAAAATAATCACACTAAGGAGAAAGCAGTGGTCTCTACAAATACACACAACGAGGCTAATCAAATGCAGCTACTGATAACGTACCTTCGTCTTCTATTGTCGGCGTGAAACAATTTAATAAGAGTCCTTAGTGACACGACAGGTAGGAGGGGCTTAACCTCATAGTGGCAAGGAAAGCCAAAGTTACATTTTAATCACAATGGACATTGAAGAGTGGGGAGAGAGAGCAGTGTTTGAGCACAGAAGGGCATGCAATGCATCACATAAGAACACAGTTAAGCTGCTCTATGGGTGAAGAATTAGGAAATGGGATGGTCCATGGTTAAGGATGCAGAAATCACTGAAATATAATGAAAAGAAAAATAGGAAGTCACAGGAGAAAGGAATAAGAAAGAATGGCTGAAGGGAGTATTAGATCATTTAGATGGGAAAACAAAAAGTACAAGATGATAGAGGATGAAACAATAAATGGAAAGAAAATGGGTGAGAAGGAATGACAAAGACTGGGAGAATGACAGAACAACCCATCCTCATTTGAACAGTCAAATATGTTATAAATGTTTAACATGCCAGTCGTACTAATGCATTTTGAATGTTGACTTTCATATTTAGTTTATTGCTGAATGTTGTATGTAATCAAATATGGTGTAGTGTGTTCGGTTAGGCTTTGTATCGTTGGTCCTAGATCTGGTTAGGTTAGATGGTTTGGTACACATTTTGAAACTAATGGTAATATTATTTGTATATAGTTAATATACGATATTGTACACATGTTAAATGCATGTATGTTAAGATGGATGTACGTATGTTAAGTTGCATGAGGACAGACTGCAGAGACAGGGATGTGAAGTGACATAGAAAGGGAAGGAAATAATAAATTTAAATAAGCATGACATATAATAAAACAGACAAATCATTGATATGAAACAAATCATACTTATAAAAACATGAAATAGATGCATTAAGAAACACAACCTGTACATTAGAAGACATATAAAATAATTCATTGGAGAATACAAAAGAGTCAACATGAAAAATGTATCTAAGCATAAAAGGAATAAAATTCTGATAAATGAGTGAAAAACATATTCCACGAAGGACACGGGAGTGGTGGCAGTCTCGGACAAGAAGAACGAGCACCCAAGTTCAACAAAGAGGAACTTTGGCATTATGGTGAAACGGGTACCAGGATAGGCTGAAGAATGGGTGACAATATTGGCTAGAAAATGGATAGGTTATTAGAGCTTGGGGGTCTTATAAAACTATTCCATGTTAGGAAAAAGACTTACAGCTATATTTGGGATCACTGCATGAAAAATACAGGATTATATATTTCAAAATCTGTAAATTTCCACAATGGACAAAACTGTCATGCATATTTATTTGTAAAGCTATTAGAAAAATTACAACTAAAATGGAGACAATTTCTGATCCTACATTTTTCTAACATACAGCTGCATCCTAGTAAATGCAATTAAAAAAAAGGCCTAGTTTTATGGTGCTACAAGCAATATGTAGTTTGAACTTGTGGAAGGAAGAGAAAACTAGTGCCATCTATAAATTTCTGTGTGACTTGCTGACTTTAATACCCAAAACAATACCCAGGTATTGCACTGGGGTTTTCCCTTGAGCCAGCCCCTTCAAAGTTCTCTATCCCTAAAATTGCAGTAGTTCTATCAACGTATATATATATATATATTTAACTCAAAACCAAAGGTCTCAGGTTCAATTTCCGCAGCAGGATAGAGACAGTCGAGTAGGTTTCTCTTAATCTGAAGCCTCTGCCCACCAAGCAGTAAATAGGTATCCACCACTTGGGCAACTATTGAGAGTTGCATTCTAGGGAATGCCATTAGTTACCCTACGGGGACACCCATAAGCCCAACAACACGATTCTTGTCTCCAACAATGAAAAACTATATACATTAATATATTTAACATTGATAATTTTAGTAACTGAATTAATATACATTATATAATTCTATCGTATCGTAACTGCATCTAATTCCAGGACAATCTTACTTTAAATACAATTTAAAACATATTTCATTCAACGATTCTGTCAAAGTATTTCAATAACAAATTATTGTAATATTGGAGAAGTTATCACCAAAAATAATTTTCCTTTCCAACATCATACCCAATAAAAAAAAGTAAAATAAAGATTTTATATTTGCAAGAAGTAAATAAAAATATATATTAAGATTATATAGAAAAAATAACAAGTCCATCTAGCCAATCAATAGGCAGCTTTCATTACCTTAAACAAGAAATTGTCCTTTTTCAGTATCCCCTATGCATCGCTCTCCATTTTCTCCCATCTCTCTCTCACCCTTGTCTTTCTGCCTCTATTGGACTGGTAAACCCTTATATATTTGTATGATTTTCATTGTAAGTGAGCACCAACTCCTTTCCCTATATGATAGCAAAATCAATATAAACTTTAGGACGAGTCGAGTATAATATGGATTTCATAATAAACCTTTAATACATAAATGGGGTGAGAATAGCTTGAGCTACCTCATCCCTTTGTGTGTATTTTACTCAATAAACTTATTTCAATTTCAATTTAATACATAACTTATACTTTAAACACAAACATTTCCAATCTCATTGTTTGGTCTTCTCTTTTTTTTTTTTTTTTTTTTTGTTGTCATAAATATTCTAATGCATACTTTTATTAGGGGTTACTTTAGTACCCCTAATGATGGATGCCTACTTACCTACCTACTTTAGTACTCTTTTTAACAAATTAACTCTAAATCGACAAATTTAAGTACAGTACATATTCTTCACATAAGCAAACTTAAAGAGGCCAAAAATGGTACCTCTTGCCAACAGACTTTCTCCATTCACATAGATTTTTCCTTGTGCAAAAACTCAGTAGAATTTTGCTTCAGAATGCACAGTATATAGAAATCTCTATCCCATTCCTAAGTTAACCTTCCAAGCTTCCACAACTGAGTAATGTAGACTCTTACTGAGCGAAGATTGTCATCTATGCCACTGTTTACATCTTAAAAATTACAAATTGATGAAAATTTTTAATCTTTGACAGCCTTCCACAGAACATGATATCAATAGCTTTCTTAAGTCCTTCATTATCTAATTATTAAATATTTGAATCAAAAGCTAGTTCAGGGACCTAACACTACCCACTAGATAACTAAAATATAAATGCTACATCAGCTGAATACTTAAAAAATGCTTTATTTTCTACAATTCATGTATGTAGTTCTAAAAATCTTGATTAAATCTATTATTTATATCGTAAAATATCACAGAAAGCAAGCACAAATATGCAAATGGTTTCCAAACATTTCCAGGCATACTAAAGATACGGAAAGCTTATACATTTCACCATCTTCATTAAGTTGCTATGTTAAGAGCCCTTGAGCTGGTGTGGAACCTATTTCCACCCAGGACCAATCTGACTGGATCTTTACTTCCCACTGTAACACAGCTTACTGACTGTCAAAGAATTTGTTTGCTAATTCTCCTCTGATTCCTAAAATATTAAATATGTTTTCATCCTGATTTATCATCAGTTCATAATGAGCATTAACCGTATAGGCAAAGACAAAAATGATTACAATTAAATTAGCATAGCATTTCAAGCTTTTATACATAAATGGGTAATCCAGACGAGTGGGTAGAACACAAGAACACCAGTGTTAAATAGTGAGAGGAAGTTTTACTAGCAACAAGTTTGTATAACCATAAGGGTGTAACTTAACTTCCTATTCAAGAGGACAAAGCAAGACTGAGCAGCAAAAAATTAACTCGTGTGAAAGGTAGTCAATAATTATAAAAAACTCGTGTGAAAAATGCTTTCAAAAATTCTGAGAACATACAAATAGAGAAATAAAAGTATATCACAACAGAATTATCTTTAATGTGAGGTGCTGAAGCTATTATACTGGAACTGCTTCTGCTACCTGGCCAGCTGGGTCCTGAGCAGTGAAGATCAAGTACCATGTGTGTGGGGTCATGAACACCATGCACATTCTTGACTCCTCTCTCTCTAGTGTAGCTTCATCCATATCCACTTCCTATACTATTAGCTCATCCATGTCTAGTACTAACAGTGACCCCACTACATTAATATGGAGACAAGTGCTTATACATCAAAGACAAACATTGTTGATCCTGCCACATCCGTTCAATTCATTTCACCTGCCGAGTGGATTATAAAGAAAGGTAGTGCCGAGATTAATAATAATAATAATAATGACATGTGATATCCTACGAGTATTTACTATTGAAAAGAAGCTATACCCTTGACCCCTCACCGTCCCAAACTGGGAGCTGTACATACCTGGTGGCAGATTTTCACATGCTGTGCCTTGATCTTCTCCATTAACATAATAATGGAGTGAGCCATCAGAGTGCCTCATCATTCCCACTCTGGTTCCAACTACAAGAGAATCCAGGTCACAGCGGTAATTGTTCATAATGGTAACACCATCCCGCATGACAGATGATCCACTGAGCATCCATGTATCATAATCAATGTCTGTCATCGTGCTTGGAAAATCAATTTCCTCTGGTGGAATGGCAGTAACACCTAACGGAGATGGAAGATAATTCAAGGCATATCAGTGAATGTGCCCAAAGTGATGGCTTTAATGAGACAAAACAATTAGCAAAAACAAAACAATAGTAAAATAAGGAAGTGCAATGAACCGTTTAGCCGAGATGATTGACACTTGTTGCTGGAAAGATGATGGTAATTAAGTATAGAGAGAGACCTTTGTCCACCTGCATAAAAAGCCTTTACTGTAAAGTAGGGGGTTAGACAATTATGTTTCTACTTCTAAAATCCTATATAAACGTTTGGGTACATGCTGACATCTGGTGACAAAGGCTCCTCTCATGCTACTATCCACTCCTAAATTTCACTGAAAACTTCACTGAATTTCAATATATTTCACTGAAAATATCCTATAACAAAAGTGATAAGTGATGCACAAGTTATATGTAGGTTATGTCATATCCAAGCAGAACACATGTAGGGACATTTAGTAAAGGATGTAAAGAGATGGTCACTATGATAGCAGGAGTTGTGACACTCAAGTAAGAAATATTGCTACATAATGAGTTTGTAAACCGACTGATAACACAAATGAAATTTTTTTATACAGAAGGTAATCCCGTACATTAAGGTGACAGAAGACAATAATAATCTCTTGTTGCAATATCTCCTGGGAAACACATCCAGGAGTTCCTTCTAATCCTTGTCTAAATGATAACAAAAACAAAACTCTCAAGGTATAACACTATGCCTGCACTGGGTCACCAGGCTGAATGGTGTATGTTATTCAACCACTACATCAAGTACCACTGGAGTGAAACACAGGTATATTACCAATTTGACTTAATTTTTATATACACCAAAATTCTTACCTGCTTCCAAAGACCCTGACCACCTGTCCACCATCTTGTCAATCATAACTTCAAACATTTCTCCTTCGTGAAGCTGACGGTTGCTGATGACAATGGCATCGTTGAACTCTCCATGAGCATTAGGTCTTTGAGCAGTTAAACCCCCATTTAATATTCTTGCATTCTTGCCATGAAGATGATGAAATCTTAAGTCACTGAAAAATATACCCAATTCTTGAAAGTAACATACTATATCTTGAAGAATTAAGAAATAACTCTCAAACGTTGAAGAAATTTGCTTTTCATTCAAAATTATCTACTACCAGAAATTTTAGCCAATTATTCCATGTTTGATAACTGTATGTAGTGCAAGCACATACATGTAACCTATCCACCGCCGCCCACTGGATGAGTGTGGGGTGCACGACTGGATGAGAGCAAGGTGCACGACGAGAAGATTAAAATGTAACCGGCTCAACAAACTAACAATGATGTTAGTTCAATAAACTGTGACCTTTTTTTTCACTATAACCCACAAGAAGAATCTCTCAAGCTTCCAAACTTTTCAAAATAATCCTTACAATTTAACTCAGAAACAATGTATTGTAATATGTTACTGTAATAAAGAAACATCTACAAATGCCATCACTAGAAATATGAGCAACAATTAATTTTGGCAAGGGACTACTGCAGTTAATTTGCTGAAGAGAAGATAATGACAATGGACATAAAATATGTTCAAACCATTTATATTTAATTAATTTATGTAGTCAAGTTACTGTACCTTACAAGCACTGTGCATGTAATTTGGTGGCAGGTACCTGTAAATTGTGGAGCTGGAGACACTGGAGGGCAAGACCTCTGAGGAACAGTGATCAGAGTGCTGTACTATGGTAGCTTGTGCTGCCTGACCATACAGGTCCACTACTCCATACACATGTTCTGGTACATTGTTAGCTGCCAGACCTTGCTCTACACCATTCACAAAAAAGTATAGAGCACCGTTGTCTTTCCGAAGGACGCCGACACGGTCTCCAACCTAGTTGATTTGTAACGTGTTAAGACATTGTAATATTAACCACCGCACTTCTGAGCATCTTAATATAAACGTTATGTGTATGTCTGGATGAACGTAGCTGGCTAGGAAAGTGAATGAAAGGGTTTTATAAAATGTATAGTTCAGTTTACTATAATTTTTTTTTTTTAAGTTTTGTAAAATTTACAGAGAAAAATATGTACCAGAAATATAGGCAGTTGCAAATGGAAAGGTGATCTGGTTACTACCTAGGAAATCTTTAAATAAATCTTAATTCTGTAAAAAACATCGACAATCCTTAAGACTTATTTTGAAGAACTTTTGACGTCATTATCGTTACCCCCATTATCTTGAGGTTATCGTGAGATGATTTCGGGGGTTTTTAGTGTCCCCGCGGCCCAGTCCTCGACCAGGCCTCCAACCCCCAGGAAGCAGCCCGTGACAGCTGACTAACACCCAGGTACCTATTTTACTGCTAGGTAACAGGGGCATAGGGTGAAAGAAACTCTGCCCATTGTTTCTTGCCGGCGCCCGGGGTTGAACCCGGGACCACAGGATCAAAAGTCCAGCGTGCTGTCCGCTCGGCAGACTGGCTCCCCGTATCCTAATTTTTATGCAGCGAGGCGTCCTCACCCTCAAGCAAATAACAACACTACAGAAATGTACTATACTGTATACCAAGTGAAGTATAAAAAATGTAGAGTATCACTACATTTATTTTTTACTGCATTACATAATCAATTAATTTGTTGTTATTGTAATACAGCCCCAGTACATCTGTGTATTATTGTAGCACCAGTACACAGTACTAATACACGTCTGAGGACAATAACCCTAATGTACATGGTAACTAACCAAAAGACAAATATAACATATATAAGAAACAAAATGGCAATGAGAAACTAAATGGATAATAAATGATACAGAGGAGTGAAATAAGGGATAATGAAACAGAAGGTAAACAACCCTTTTATGTACAATTACCTTGAGTCGGTCCAAATTCAGACCATAATCATCAATAATAGTTGTGCCATTATGCATGACTCCATTGCCAGTCATCATCCATGTGCCTGACCTGAAAACAAAAAGTACCTCTTTTATTGCAGATGCAACATGTCAAGATGCATACAAAAAGCACCTGGTGTTCACATTCAATTCTACAACTGATCATTCTGAAACAAAAAGTACCAAAAAGTGATCACAAAATGTTGGTCTAGACTACACATGCATAGCAAATACTGTATAACTATACTAGACTACACAAACATGGAAATTATAGTCTACTAGGCCTCAGATGAATGGTAAATATATATGACTAGACCACAAATGATGACAAATGTGATCAAACTAGATCACACATGCATGGCAAATAAGGAAATATATAAAAGGAAACATCTATAACTGCCAAGCATTTATTATAGGGAAAATTGTTTACAGAAGAGCTTCAGGTGTGACCCCTCACTTAGCATAGTGACTGTAATAAAAGCTCGTCCATGACTGATGCTTCCTTCACACACATACTTGCCAGAGGCACCTGCCCTTCGTCCATATTAACACAATTTTATACGGAATATCTTAAGAGTTCATGATGCACAGCCATCCCATGACAGGTTCCTACATGCTAAAGAGAACAGAGTGTCAGAGATATGGCTTTGTATCAACTCGGTATTAGCAATACCCTTTGAACAACGGTATACCTTTCAAACTTAGCCCAAATATATATGCCAATTACATACCTGACATTAGTCATTGTGGATGGATATTCGAGATCTGTAGGAGGATGTGTGGTAACGCCAATCTCAAGGGAACCTGCCCACTTGTCCACACACTTGTCTAATCGAACTTCAAACATTTCATTTGGCTTCAGTGGACGTAGAGTGAGGACAACCCCATTATTAAAGTCATCTGAAGCACTAAAAAAAATAAACCAATACAAAATATAAAAATTTCTCGACATGTATCATGAAATCATTTGTCATTGCTGTTTATCTATAAATATTTAAAACATTTACTCCTACACACAAAAAAGTGAATTGTTACATGCAAAAACTACAAACACCAGAAACTACAGAACATCTCACTGAAGTCTCCAATGTATGCTCCTCCCACCCATCCCACCATGAATCATGGTATTTTCCTTGTCAGTTCCCTCATACAATAGTTAACACTCAATTCCATATATACCTACAACGAGCCAGCATCACCATAAATAGGAGTCACTCCAGTTATCACCTGAGTACCAGCATCTGAGTACTACTGGAATTCAAGAGTTCGTAAACAACACCACTTAAATCCTTATGCTTTGCAGCAAAATAAAATATATTTCTCAATGGAACACTTAAACTGTTCACAATAGGAAAGAACTATAACAATTCTGCAAACAAGGGCATTAACATGCTGAAAATCAAAATATGCCTACCACTCGAGAATCTATTTTGTACCCTTTGTATCCCCTAACATTATATATTGAGCATATGGATCCTGGAATGAGCACTATGCACTCTGCACAGCAGACCTTCATGAATCACAAATTTCACAAGGTGCTATCCAATTCTATAACAAAAATTGCCTAATGCAAGTTAGCTAAGATGTTTCTTACATTTTATAATTATGACTTCGTGCAAATTAGTTTTTCTTGAGTGTTCTGCACTTATTGAATTCTATTTTTGGATCATTGTGCACAGTATGTGTGGTGTCTAGAAACTGCAATAAAATATAATGGAAAGAATTAAACCATTCAATCTGGAGTGCAGTGTACAAAATTGAGTTTGTTATAGATATGGTCCGATGCATTGGAACCTGTGGTATTGGCCTACTTTTGCAGTACAGTATTGGTATCGATAAGATTTACTTCCCTAACCAATAAATATTTAATATATACAGGTGGATACAGGATCAGATGACTTATAATAATAATAATAATAATAATAATAATAATAATAATAATAATATTTATACAAGTAAAAGTAAATATACAAAATGAGCTACAAACAGAACGTTTGATTTCTAGATAGAGCTAGTGTATACTATGCCTAAAGCCACTAGTACGCACAGCATTTCAAGCAAGAGATACTTGACCTCTTAAACACAACTTCTTAAACCTTGCCCTACAAGTTTTCTCTAGAACACAATCTACTCATTGCCTTACAACTAGGTCCCTGATTACTGCTGGGCGAATGTAGGTAAACAGTTAAGGATTGGTTACCAATCATCTCTTCCTTCGCAAAGGGATGAGTTGAGGAAAGATTATGAATTAAGGGGGGTAGAAATAGCCTAAGCTACTTTATCCCTTTGAGATATATTTTTTTCTTGTCTCAATAAACATACTTGAACTTGAATTGAACTATGAATTAAACCATATATTACATGAAGTCAGAAATGTTAAGAAAGACATGATTACAACATAAAATTTATCAGGGAAATTTAAGGGGAAGAGATGAATGGATTATTTAGAATGGGTGGCACTTGAACAAGGGAAAACTAAATACCCACAGATGAACCACAGGACATACCCACAAACTAAATACCCACAAATAGAAAGCCTTTTTTCATGTTCTATTAGTGATTAATGGAATGCACTCTAAAAATAAAGTGGTGCAGGACGACTTCAAACACAACTTCATATGGAAATATGACAGAACCCAATTGGTTTGAGAACCAATTTACCAGTTGACTGAAGGCTTATGTGGGGGAGAAAAAGCAGAAGCTTAACTTCAAAGTGCACAATTAGGCAAGAACTCCTGCCTCGGCCATACCCACCCCCACCCAACACCAACCTAACCAACCCTTGTACCTACCCATTTCTGTCTTATCCACCCCATTTCCCATAAACCCCATTTCATACAATTAAATACCCACCCCCCCGTTTAGGAGCCGGTCGGCCGAGCGGACAGCACGCTGGGCTTGTGATCCTGTGGTCCCGGGTTCGATCCCAGGCCCCGGCGAGAAATAATGGGCAGAGTTTCTTTCACCCTATGCCCCTGTTACCTAGCAGTAAAATAGGTACCTGGGTGCTGGGTGTTAGTCAGCTGTCACAGGCTGCTTCCTGGGGGTGGAGGCCTGGTCGAGGACCGGGCCGCGGGGACACTAAAGCCCCGAAATCATCTCAAGATATCCTCAAGATAACCCCTAATCCTATACACTCCTGCTACTACTATTAAAACTATTAAAACTTGTACTATTAAAACTATTAAAAACTTTCAAACTCAACATGTTGAGAATGTAAGGCAGCATGCCCCAAGCTACTTCAAGATCAAGTAGTTATGCAAAATGTCTATGGACTGCATGAGCTACTAATCAGTAATCACTGCTGGCGAGTCCATTTAACACAATTTCATTTAGTGGACTGCTCAGCAGGTATAGGTGTTATGATTATTATGCTGTAATTGAGTGCAACTTATTTACTATGTCATTGTTTACACTTCATATTACAATCTTCAGGTTATCTTGAGATGATTTCGGGGCTTCGACCAGGCTTCGACCAGGCTTCCACCCCCAGGAAGCAGCCCATGACAGCTGACTAACACCCAGGTACCTATTTTACTGCTAGGTAACAGGGGCATAGGGTGAAAGAAACTCTGCCCATTGTTTCTCGCCGGCGCCCGGGATCGAACCCGGGACCACAGGATCACAAGTCCAGCGTGCTGTCCGCTCGGCCGACCGGCTCCTTCAAGAACCATTATGTCTTATGCTTTAATGTCTACAAAAATATTTAGTACTCTGTTAGTAGGGAGTATCAGTATGGAGTATCATTATTTTAGTAATATCAAAGTAGTGCCAGTATCGTATAATAAAGTGGCATCAGTCAAAATATTGGTATCAGTATTGCATATCTCTAGTTTATTACGTTTATTTTTATTTTTCATTAAAAAAATTCTTGTTTATATCCTTTTTGGTATGAAACTTTTTGTTACAAAAAATAATATTACATTAATACAAAGCACACACTGTACTCCAAGTGAATGGACAAAATTCATACTGTGGCCTTTCTGGCCCTTCAATGCATCCAAAATTTGACTATTTTTTGCCACATCTACCAAATATAATTATGTTTTTACTAATGCAAATAATAGAACACACATTCTGAGACCAAAATCACTTGAGACCGAATGTTTTTAAACATTTTGTTCGTTGTTACATTTGCCTACACAGTTGTAGTCCAGTAAATGTACAGTCCTGTACTAGTCCACTTCACCCAAGATACGTTTGATATTTGATGTTGCAATCAAATATAACTATCGTATGCAGGCGATGAGTCACAATAACGTGGCTGAAGTATGTTGACCAGACCACACACTAGAAGTTTGAAGGGACGATGACGTTTCGGTCCGTCCTGGACCATTCTCCTGTCCAGGACGGACCGAAACGTCGTCGTCCCTTCAAACTTCAAGTGTGTGGTCTGGTCAAAATAGCTATCGTAACTACTGGAATGGACTCCTATTGCATCTGGCTTACTGGTGCATTGATTTCCACTTAAGCGGGTGTCCATTGTACAAAGGTGTAAATTTTGGAATGGGTCTAAAACCAATAAGTACAAAAATTTTTAAGTTGTGCTGCATATGTACACAGTATTATAGACAGCTTACTACGGTACAGTATAAAGGAACAAATAGAATGAATAAAATCTATCTTTCTAAAAATTTGTTAAGACACACACAAAAGTTAAAAGCAGACAGACTGGCAGTAAACGTAGGGTTCTTTGCTGCTTTGAACAAATTCAACTCCAGAGATCATGAAACTTCAACTTACTTTGGCCGATGAGCTGTTCGGCCATTGTTAATGACCTGGGCATATGTGCCACAGTTAGGATGAAAAAGCAGGGTGTCGTTCCCATCTTCATCGGGTGGGACTGTGTGTATAGATGAAGCCAATTTGTTATAAGACAACTATCATGATTTAATATACAAAACATGTAATTTTGAAGGTAAGATGAAATAATGTATTAAGTTTAAGGCAAAACCACTTTAGAAATTTAAATACAAATATGAAAACATACTTCTTTAATTTTGTACATAAGAGGGAGAACGAAAACAATATGCTGGAATTTCTTTAAAGCCAATTCCACTAATATTTGCTTATACAATTACAGTACTTTCATCTTTCTTAATAAAAAGTTTCCTCTTTTTTTTATCTTGCAAATTTTCAACACAGTGCAACAAAATGTAGACTATTATACAGTATATATACAACAGCCAACATTTTGTACAAATGCACAATAATTTTTGAGGATTGACTGGAGATCGTAAACAGAAATATAACAACATATAGAGAAATACTTGCCCGTGTCTGAGAGTGGGGGTTGTATGTCACACATCTGGGTGTTTCGACGGGTTATTAGGTTCTGTTCTTCCCTTTCATCACGGTCTACTATTGTCACCTAGAACAGCAATGTTATTCAGTGAAGATAACTACCATTGCAAAATAGAGTACATGTGCTGTAGGTACAGTATTGTACAATTATCATTGTGCTACAACTGAATAATTTCACATTAATAACAAAGAAATTTAATACAGTACTGTACACACACTTATACTGAAGCAAAGTTGTAAACTCTTGGCAAATAATAAAGGAAGTAATACATATACTGAACTGTATAATAATATTGTTTGATTTCAAAACAACAAACTTGGATAGCACAAGAAGGTTTCTACAAAGCTCCACAAATGACTCCATTTGCCTCATCCCATGATCATTTCTCAACTTTATCATGAAGAGAGTGACAATTAAAGAAAAGATTTATGCTTGGACTTAGAAGAAACATTCAGACGATAGGAAAACAAATTAAAATGGCTCATATTCAAAATGAAGTCAAATATTCAAAGTGACAACATGAGCAGCATAACACCCAACTGAGCAGAGAGAGAGAGAGAGAGAGAGAGCACACTGGGTGTTCATGAGCGGCATAACACCCAACTGAGCAGAGAGAGCACACTGGTTGTTCATGAACAGCATAACACCCAACTGAGCAGAGAGAGCACACTGGTTGTTCATGAACAGCATAACACCCAACTGAGCAGAGAGAGCACACTGGTTGTTCATGAACAGCATAACACCCAACTGAGTACAGAGTGTGCACACACTGGGTGTTCATGAGCAGCATAATACCCAACTGAGCACAGAGAGTGCACACTGGCTGTACACTTTCTGCACCAGGTAAACCAATAAAAAGTTCACTGTTGATAAACAAGCACTTAACTTAAAATCTTCCAATAATATGCACTTTTTAAATAAATCAAAACTTAATGACAATTAATTTTAGAGTAACAAAACACAGACCGCCATAGTAATGAATTTATCCTTTCTCAAGTTTCGTCTTTTAGCTCTGTCATACACCCTTAAATACTTTGTCTGAAAAACAAAAATATTTGCAGAATATTTTTAAGCTAATTTATTAACTAAAGCAACCATGCTTAGGTTAATAAATTTACACTTATTCAATTCATAAATTTACATTAATTCAAACCTCTCAACCACAATGGTAAAAACGTTGACCAACCCGGAACTCTACTGAATTCACTGGGGTGTTCTGGAGGCCGTGAACCAGAATCCAACTGAGTTAAGGCCAGTGTCTGGGAATCACCAGAATGCGGGTTCAAGTCACTCAATTTGCCCCACCCAGAACTCAAAACTGGGATCCCTGATTATGAGTCGAGAATAAAGCCAACTGTACGGCGAGATATAATTAATCAGTAGAATCTGCAAGAGTAGTGAGATTTTCTTAAAAATACACTCTTGCTTAAAACTATAAATCCTAGAGCCAACTCATCTACCTGCTATGAGATACAAATGAGTCTTCATGAAAGGGTTAAATATAACTAAAATGGATCACACTGCCAAAATGGCAGTGAAGGTCAAAACTTTACCTTAACTGTCATGCCATACAAGTCGACAACAGACCAAACAGGCGAGGGAACCATGGTTGCAGCAATACCCTGATCCAGCCCATTGATGTAGTAGTGAAGTTCTCCACCAGTTTTAATCATCATTCCTATTCGATCTCCCTCCTGGAAATGCACAATATAGCATAAATAAAATATTCATTGTGACCATCATTTCTCCTATCTCATACATTCACAGACTTGGTACAAAGTAAGTACTCTTTACAAGTTGTTATATTATAGGCAAACTGTCAGCTCACATATTCCCTCCTAACAAGCTGCTGCTACACTACTCAGCCTTGTTCTACTAATTCAGCAAATTTTACGAACATACCACATTTCAGCACATTCACTCACCATATCTGCCCATTATCTTCATCATCCCACCTCATCCTACATTTATATTCATATAACAAACTTTCACCAACCTTCAGGGTGTCTACTCACAATAAACTGGTGTGTAATCGTATTAGTACACCCTATGTCCAAAATTAATCAATTATGTTTCTTAATGAAATCCAATTATCTTATAGAAAAATACATAAAAATTTACCCAATGAAATCATTTCAACCATCAACCATCTCTCACCTTCAGCTCATCAAGATTGAATTCACCATACTCTCGGTGAGTTCCTTTACCATTCGTGAGTATTCCTGTTCCACTCATCATGGTGGTGCCTGAGCGCATGTTAGTCATGGTAGCAGGAAAATCTAGCAATCCTGGATTGTGTGTAGTTATTCCAACTTCTATACTGCCAGACCACTTGTCCACCAGCCGATCAATGCGAATCTGAAGAGGTAATCCTAATTACAAATTTCATGATGATGTATGAGAATGTTCTGCACAAATTCAATAATTTGGCTGCTGCCTCCATTCCGTTCCAAAAACTCAGCTGTATCATTATTGTCACACTCTTGTTAATCCCAATTTTCTTTTAGAGCTCAGAATACAACATAACAGAATCTTCACTTAAATAATGTCTGATTAGTGAATACAAGCAGTTCTCAATTTGTAAAAGCTTTCGTTCGTGTATAAGTCGTGACATTAAAAAACACACTAATCAAAGTGGTAAGGTTAAGTTTCGGACACCTTCAGAAGTCCACCTTATTTCACTTTGATAATAAAATACCTACTTTTGCATCAATAATTACAGGTTCCTCTATTTTCCAGTTGCAAATATAGAAGTGCCTGCTTGGGATGTGCAATGATAAAACAAATGAAATCCAAAAAGTTCATAAACACAATGGAGACAGTCTGGATAATCAAAATTAATATGTAATCTGCCCTAAATAGACAAACCATCTTGTCACTCACATTTTGAAACTTGGTATAAAAGTAATTACCCACCTACCACTAAATATGCTTTCTCAAAGTGTAGTGTATGGGATCACCTGTACAGGACCTGGTACTGTATATTGGAATCCAATTTATTTTTATTTTTCAATAACTAGACTTTTCCATATTCCCCTGCCAGGCATCTCTGCAGTCAAAACCCCCTGCCACGCATCCCTGCACAGTCAAACCCACGAGGCTTTCTAGTAGTTTAGACCACTGTGAAGCATCCAAATAGTCAAGAACACTTTTCACATCACAAGAACAACAGAAGGAGGGGGGGGGGATGTTGTAAGCACTGGTTTAAGGGGGATTAAGAACCAAGCTCCTAGTGCTGTACTTGAATTTATCACACATTTATTAGATTAAACGTCCCCACAATGGGGACCAATTCTGGATAATATTAGTGACTATATAAGGTAAATGACACTAGACTGATACTTCCTAAAACAGTATATAATAGCCAAGGGGAAGAAAATAAATATTAGAACTTAGATTCTGAATAAATATTAGAACTTAGATTCTGTTCTCCCCAAGTGATTAGAATAGTGAAGGGATAATATACGAGAATCTACCTTTAGCCAGTGAACACTTGTTAAAGGTATTTGACTACGTTTGACTACATAATCAAGCTTGAGGAGAGCAGGATCTATAACCAGTTCAGATGATACATACCAACAGGAGGATGAGAAATTTCTACCAGGAAGTCTAGTAGGAGACTAAACTAGAGGTGGGGACAAGCTCTGCTTTGATTGTTTCAAGCACAGGTTGGACAAATATATGAGTGAGTTTGGATAGATGTAAGTATGAGCTGTCTCTTATGTGCCAATAGGACTTTTAGTTTCCTGTATTCTTAAGCCTTATCATGTTTTACAAGTACAATACTCATAAAAATACATGCAGGCCAGAGAAAAGTACATACCACTAGGAAATAAGGGAGACTAAAACCAATATTAACTCTCAGTTCAAAAGACAATGCAAGAATTCCAACAGAAAAAAAGCAATGTGGAAAAAGTGCAAACAGCACAATACCAGGATATATAGGTAAGGAGGAACATAAAGGACTACACTAGTGTTAGAAGAGAAGTGGAGAGGCTGTGTAAAAATGAAGCCTTTTAGGTTTATTAAGGACCCACTAGCCAAGGTTTTCCATGCACTTGTCCATCATATTTTAGCTACTCAGTTATGCCTGACACCTGCTTAACAAATGATGTGCAGACCCCACACTGCACCATACTGCAACAGAATCATGCCAAATTTGGCTATGGATACCGCAAACACGGTACCCATGATAAAGAAAGGAGCAAAAGACACAAGGCCTAAGCCCTTACACTGTACTGCCCATCATAAGTGCCTAGAGAGGTGCTCCACATGTCTAATGAAACTTGCTTTACTCTCACGTTATTTACACTCGTAAAGAGAGGTCTTTTAACTCCTTCACCTAGTGATTAGTTCTAGGAATTGGCTGTCATCCTTGGAAAATCTTGTGTGTTCCAGATACCAGTGCCTTCCCTGTTGAAGACCTCAATATAACAACCACCAGACATAATCACACCAAAACTTATTAACTTCATTGAACTAAAAGGATATTTATCAAAGATCAGATTGCAATTTTCAATATAATGTAACAAAAATATAAGGCTGTAAAGTGGGTGGTGGGGTATGTGGATACCATCCCCACCTTCCTGGGCGTGTATGAGCACACTACACATGGGGAAAACATTTTGTTTTTCCTAAAACTTAACCCTTATACCGCGCATATTACTGGGCATATTGGGGGCCTGGTAGCGAAAAATATTTGACTTATGTAAAAATAATTAAAAAATGTTAAACAAATCTCCAACTTATTGGCTTCAGTGTCGTGAAACTTTCATAAAAATATTTTCAGAAATTGATTTTGCACGAATTTAAAAAAAATAATAATGTTTTGTTGATAAGGAGAACAGCTAATAACTGGAACTGAAGGATAATGCAGTAATAGAGAGATGCAAGCACCTGTCCGACGCTCAAAGAAGAATAGTAGTAAGAAGTGTCCACAAAGTGGATATGCACTTGGCGTCTTTATAGCATTGCTGAGTAATGCATAATAAACAAATAATAATGATTAATGATTAACTATGTTATTATGCTCTATTTTGTTATTTATCATATAAATACATTGCCCAATGTTAATATATGTTACTTTCATCAATGTCCCAATTTTTTTTTTTTTTTTTTTTTTTTTTTTTTTTTTTTTTTTTTTTTTTTTTTTTTTTTTTTTTTTAAGATTTTAGTTGTTTTTTTCTCCTTTGTTTATTATTTGACTTTGTTGTAACCTTTACTTCCTGGAGAATGCATATATTTCCCTATGTGAAGATAGAATGAAATTGGTCAACAAACAAGTCAGTCACAAATTGCAAAACTTGGAACTTTTAATTTTTTCGGGCCGATTTTTTCTCTGATTTCAAACTATTTTCTTCGTCACTTTAGTTTGTTTTGATGAACAGGGACCATATTAGGGCTTTTTCACATATATAAAGTATACCCTAAATATATCCCATAAATCATTACGTTATAATTATCCCTATATTTTGTGTTTTTTGGGGGTTATTTTTTCTTGACTTCATTTCAATACATTGACCTACAACTTTCACATATTTGAGTACGAATGCCAAACAATGTTTATTAAAACATACAATTAACGAATTAAAACTACACTGTACCTTTATTCATTGTTGATAACTTCAACTTCAATTATCTCTGAAACTAGAGTTTCATATTTGAGCGACTTCTAAATTCCAGTTTTTGACCGATTCTCACTATTGTGATATATTGTGTACTCACCTATTTGTACTCGCCTATTTGTGTCTGCAGTATCGAGCATTGACTCTTGGATCCCGCCTTTCGAGCATCGGATGTTTACAGCAATGCAGATAATGTTTACAGCTCAGCTGTCTGTTCTACAATCCCTTCAGAATGGATTTTTCATAAACTTTATACATTCGGAGTTATAATTTTTTGGGGTCTAAATTTGCCGCATATTTCAAATGCCCTATTGACGATTTTTTTCACAGTAAACTATACTGAAAACCTATGTTCTAATTTGATGAAAATTAAGATCATGTGCTATTCTGAGAGAATAACAACATTAAATGAACAATTGGTGATAGTTCATATTTTTTATTCTGAATTGAAGATCTGAAGTTTTCAATATTAAATTTTAAAATTAATTTTGATTCTCTTATTTTTCAAGTTATGCTGTGAACATTTAGACAATGTTGGAGCATTTGCCTATTTGATTATGTAAAAAAAATTGGAAAGTGTTTGTGCCAGTTTTAAAAACTTATGTTAAATTATTTTATGTCAAACCGTATACAGTATGTATGTATTGCGCTGTTGAAAGATTAAGCATGGAAATTTACGACAAAATAGTTTTTTGGCGTACAAAGAGTGAGCTGTTGTTAAACTACAAATCATTGTCACTGACATTCATCAAATATATAATATTTAAAATTAATCAAATAAACTACTGTACTTGAGACTGCTTCAAAGACACAGGATTCAAAATTGTTAGTGCTATTAATTGGACTAGGGCCCAGGATTAAACACAGATCACCTGGTTTGAACACAACAATTGGACACGGTATGTACAAACACACAAGTTAACAGACAGAAATTACATAATACAGTGATGTCTCAGTCCAACGGATCATTTGGCTATGGGGCATTATTTTGGAGTGAGATGTGTGTTGTGTTTTCCACTTTTATGCCATAATCTTTTTATAAGCAAAAATTACCAAAAATGTTCATATTTTAACATCAAAATCAGAGTAAGTACACTGTTAACACTAACACACACACACACTAACACACACACACACAATGAGCCACAGAGACGTTAGAAAGAACTTTTTCAGTGTCAGAGTAGTTAGTAAATGAAATGCATTAGGAAGTGATGTGGTGGAGGCTGACTCCATACACAGTTTCAAATGTAGATATGATAGAACCCAATAGGCTCAGGAATCTGTACACCAGTTGATTGACGGTTGAGAGGCGGGACCAAAGAGCCAGAGCTCAACCCCCGCAAGCACAATTAGGTGAGTACACACACACACACACACACACACACATATATATATATATATATGTCGTACCTAGTAGCCAGAACGCACTTCTCAGCCTACTATGCAAGGCCCGATTTGCCTAATAAGCCAAGTTTTCCTGAATTAATATATTTTCTCTAATTTTTTTCTTATGAAATGATAAAGCTACCCATTTCATTATGTATGACGTCAATTTTTTTTTATTGGCGTTAAAATTGACGTAGATATATGACCGAACCTAACCAATCCTACCTAACCTAACCTAACCTAACCTATCTTTATAGGTTAGGTTAGGTAACAGAAAAAGTTAGGTTAGGTAGCCGAAAAATATTTAATTCATGAAAACTTGGCTTATTAGGCAAATCGGGCCTTGCA